GACATCTTTGTAGCACAGCTTGGTACCCACAATCCCACTCTCCAGACAGAAGGGATGCCATTTAGGAAAATGTAGGAAAGGCAAGCAAGGTAGCAACCAGTTCACACAGATCCTAAGTTTTAAGGCTCGGCGACACCATCAGCACCGTAGAGCCAGGCAGCCTGCATGTATTACACGGTGTGGTCCGCTGAGAAGACAGCTTGGAGATGGTCCATGGAAGCTTAGAGCCCACACTGGTGTTAATCAGCAGTAATGTCGCTTGATCTCCTCATACGTCTTCCCTTGCCTTTCAAACAGGAAGAATACACATCTTGTTGTGAAGTGCCGAACTAACACACTGAAAGGGCAGGCCTTCACAGAGCTCAGACACGGCTGAGTCTGCCTATAAACGTCAGCCTATAAACGATTGAGCACTGCATACAACGGAACCCATTGTATCCAATGCTCAGCGCTTCCTAACCAGCCCACCAGAAAAAGCACCACAGGGAAGCAGGGCCAATAAACACGCCTGTGCTTCAAAAACTTTACAACCCAAACTGAAGGTAAAGGAGATAATTATGGTAACAAACAAAGCAATAAGGAAAGATGAGGCCATGTCAGCTGAGCCACGCTGTGAGCCCGGACGCCAGGAAACCAAGTTCACTCAACCTGGGCAGAGACGTGGGGAGTTTAACCAAGTGGCGAGAGCAGTGTTGGGGAGAAGGGTGTGACAGGGTCCGTTGTGATGGAAAGAATGAGTTGGCCTTGTGGTTTCTCTTTATAGAGTCTTTGTGATAAAGAAAGCATCAGGGAAGGGATGGCTGAAGTCAAGTGTTCCTGCGGATGTGGAAACGGGGAAGTGGACTCACTCCTTGGGACCCAAGACACACTTAGACACACCAAGTCCTTGACAAAGACACACCCAAGACACCCTTACACATACCCGATTCCTCGACAAAGACGTGCTCAAGATACGCCTTAGACACAACAGAGTCCTGGACAAAGACACACCTAAGACACCCTTACACATACCAGATTCCTCGACAAAGACATACTCAAGACACCCCTTAGATACACCAGAGTCCCCGACTAAGACACACCCCAAACACCCTTACACACACCACAGTCTCCGACAAAGACACACCCAAGACACCCTTAGACACACCACATTCTCCAACAAAGACACACCCAAGGCACCCTTACACACACCACAGTCCCCAACAAAGACACACCCAAGGCATCCTTACACACACCACAGTCCCCAACAAAGACACACCCAAGACACACTTAGACACCACAGTCCCCAACAAAGACACACCCAAGACACCCTTAGACACACCACAGTCTCCAACAAAGACACACCCAAGGCACCCTTACACACACCACAATCTCCAACAAAGACACATCCAAGACACACTTAGACACACCACAGTCCCCAACAAAGACACACCCAAGGCACCCCTACACACACCAGTCTCCAACAAGACACATCCAAGACACATTTAGACACACCACAGTCCCCAACAAAGACACACCCAAGACACCCTTTTACACACAACAGAGTCCCCAACAAAGACACACCCAAGACACCCTTACACATACCAGAGTCCCCAACAAAGACACACCACAGTCCCCAACAGACACACCCAAGACACCCTTTTACACACAACAGAGTCCCCAACAAAGACACACCCAAGACACCCTTTTACACACAACAGAGTCCCCAACAAAGACACACCCAAGACACCCTTACACACACCAGAGTCCCTGACTAAGACACACAAGCATTCCTTGTGCCCGGATTTTATCACACCACAGAGCAAAGAAATGTGATACCCATTAGACCTGATTCCCAGTCTCCTGTGCCAAATAAAAGGACATCTGACACTTCAAAATCACATTCTGTGAAATGTCTAATGAAGTGCCTATGCCTCGTAGTAACAGTTCAGTAATTCCAAGTAGCTAAAGAATTCTACTTAGGATAGCAGTATTTTTGGAATTTAATCACCAATCTTTAACATTAAAATAGGAAAGACACAAAAATAGCGTTTCTATTGAACATAAATGTGTCAGTGATTTGGGAAGATTTCCTGTGACTAAGTTAAAAAACATCCCATTAGTGTATTATGTAATGTTTGTTGAGAAGCCACATAGCTGGCAGCGGGTAGAACATGGCTTCAAACCCCAGGGGATGTGATTCGGTAGACCAGCAGGAGAAACATCAAAGCACCCAGGTGACGCTGTCCAGCTCAGTGTCAAACACTGTAAAGGCCCCCAAATAACCGGTGTCATGCTCCCGGAATCCATTAAGTCTGCTCTCTTCTCCAGTTTGTACGGGCTAAAGTTATAGGCCCATATTTCGAACACAGAACCGCTGATGTTAAAATAAGCCAGGACAGCGGCGGCTGTGCAGTGCCTAAGTTCATTAAATCAAACACCAAGCGCTCTGGCCACACGGGACAAAGCCAGTGTCTTCTGAATTGAAGACTGGTTAGACTCATACAGGCGCTGTGTTAAGGCA